TGGGGCAGCTACGGGCAGCCACAGAGCCTGGGCTGGGGGGCAGGGGCTTTGTGTGGCGGGCAAGGGGCAGCAGGGCTGGGGGGCAGGGGTTTTGGGTGGGGGACACAAGGCAGCAGGGCTTGGGGGAAGGGGGTTTGGGTGGGGGAAAATGGCAGCAGGGGTGGGGGGCAGAGGCTTTGGGGGGGGTCAAAGGGCACCAGCTGGGCATCCTGCCACGTAGCCCTTGCCTTCATTTTGTTTTTCTGGCATGCCAGCACTCTGGCACCTTCCAAGGTAGGCATTGTGGTAGGCACTCCGGCCAAAAAACGCTGCTTACCCCTGATCTAAACCAACCAGCAGTACTTAAGGCTGACAATAATACCTTGTTATATCTGTTGGTTAAAACTAACTTTGTATTCCATGTGTGCATGAGAGTGAAGCAGATGAGACTAATGTTTTGCATTTGCAGTTCTTTCCTCCCCTGTAATATGTTCATATTTGCTTGTCTTTTTCTTTTACAGATAAAGAACTCCTGACTCATGAAGGGTATTTTGTTCCTGATCCCAGTGGGTATCCAGTGACCAACTCAGTGGCAAGAGGGGATGTAGCTTGTTTCATGTTGTGTCTGCTTAACAGTAATGAATGGATTAAAAAAGGAGTGGCAATGTGCACAAAATAGAAGTGGCATTCCCTCTGGGTAGGACAACATTAGCCCCAGTCCTGTAAATGAGAAAGCATCAGCACAGACCTTCAAACACTCATGGCATGCATATGAACTAAATTACGTCCAAATGCCCAGATCCCCAAAATGACTTACATAGCTGAAGTGTGAGGTAGGTGGGATTTAGTTAAGTCTAAGAGAGCAACTTTTAAACCCCACACCTAACCTCTTAGATGCCTGAAAGTCTATATTCACTCAAGTTTGCATGGTGAAGTGACCTAAGTACCTAGAGCTCAGCATACACAGAAAGGATGCCATTTTAGCAGCGTTGAACAACTTATTGCATATCTCAGGGTTAATCTTGTTCAGGATCCTCAAACAAGGTGTTCCCCTATTCAAGTCTGCTGAAGGGCCCAAGTCAGTAGACATGCTTAGAGCATGCCTAACACCCACAGAAAGTTCAGCTCAACATACAGCAGCTATAGCACCCTGATTTTAAGGGACAGTTAAAAAGACAATTAAGAGCTCAAGACTTGTCCCTCCTAAATGAGTAACCTAACCAAAATATCAGCCTAGGGATAAGAATTGTCATTCACAACTAACAACTGCCTGTCACCAGGGCTGACTTGTTTGGTCATGCTAGGCCTGAACAAGTCAGAGTAAACACACACAGTCTCTTTCTCTCTGCAGATTTCTTATGCATCTCTGTCTGGTTTCCTGACCACCTTCTTCTTACACACTGGCTCTTTTCTCTCTGTTTAATCAACTTTCATTCCCTCTACAAGTTCTTTGATTACTACCACCCAAATCTCCAGCCAGTCCCAATGCAGGCAAACCAACCCTTATCATCTCCAAACACACATTTAAGTTCTTGCCACAGGTGTAGCCCTAGGGTCAGAAGGCACTCCTAACCCGTGATAAATTTTCTGCTCCTCTTCAAAGGAGCCAATTTTCTCAGCTTTTGGCACTGACAGTATTCACTATTTTCAGTGCAGTAAGCTTTTCCCAGCACCTGCTTAATGTTTGAAAAGGATCCAACCCTTAAAAGTAGTATCTGCTACTCGTTAAAAAAAACAACAACCAAAGAACAAAAAAACTACACAACTTTTTTACTAGCTACTTCATGTAATTGTACATTTGTACCTTGTGGCAGAAATGCTACCACAAAACAAAACTTACCTCCAGCACCGGGACAGGGAGAAAAGTGGCAACTGCAGACTGCCACCAAAGATCAAAGACGCCATGGCAGCAACATCGCTGACAGCAAACAAGCTGAGCCTCTGCACGAGTGAGGAAAAAAGCGGCGACAGCAGTCTGCCACTGGGGATCAGGCACCTTCCCCACAACTGATGTGGGTACATTTTGTAGCTGCGTGCTGATACCAGTTTATCAGCTGGCCCTCAGAGCAGGGGATAAAAACCCCACTGACCCACATTCAGGGAGGACTGAAAGTGTGTCCTCCGGAGAGCCCAGGGGAACCTGAGATAGATGAATCCACCAGCAGGTGCGAGTGGTGACAACCGCAAGAAGTGGGATGCCCTACTAAGGCTGGCTCAGAGGAGCCAGAGTATATACCTCTCTCAAGACTGTGGACAATGCAGACAATGCTGGGAGAGACTGGGACAGCACAATGGTGAGCCTATAGAGAGAAAAAAAAAAAGAAGGAAGGATACGGAAGCTGAGAGTAGCCCCTGGAGGGGAGAGAGAGAGTACCGTGGGGTAACTTCCAGGGGGTGAACACTACAATGAGTAAGGCCAATGTAAGGCCTACAAAAGGACAGTATACCATCCAAATTGGGACTAAGATCAGATAAGGGCCAAAAGCCCAGCTATGGCAAGTTGCTTTTGCTTTAGCCTTGGCCAAAAACTAACATCATCACTGGTTGGCACAAAACGGGGTGTAGGGGAGGCAGAGCCCCGAGATGAAGGCCTAAGTGAGTGACCAAAGAGAAACCCAGGAGTAGCTGGATTATTGAACTTCTTCCCAGCAGTAATCCATACCAACAAAGACATGGCAGGAGAGAACCCCTGGGGATCCTTTTAGGAAACTTCACTGAAAGGTAAGCTGTTGACCTGAAAGGAGACAGCTGCATCTGAGCGGCCCAAAAAGGCAAAGCGTTCTAGTGAATGTCATGGGTGATTACAGGGGTGTAGGTTGTAGCCGTGTTGGTCTAAGGACATAGGCAGACAAGGTGCCTTGGGTGAATCTGATATCTTTTATTAGACCAACCCAAATAGTTGGAGAATAGTTATTAAGCAAGCTTTCGGGTTCAAAAACCCTTCGTCGGGCTAAGGAAGTTTCAGCAGTTGGTGTGTGCTCTTGTGATGCATGTCCCTCCTCCCCTCCCGCATCCATTTTTGATTGTCTGTACTTAGCCCAGGGGTCAACAATTTTTTGCATTGTGGGCTGAAGCTTGCAACCCCTGCTGCCCCTTGCTGCAGGCTGCAAATGTCTACCTGCTGGAGCACCGGAGTTGTCTGCATTTACCCTCATTGCTGATCCTGCGATGGTAAATGCAGGCACAAGGTAGCAGTAGAAAGGGCAGCAAGGTGCAGTTGCATACCACCTAGCTCCTCATGCCACCTCAGGCCAGGTCAAATCCGGATCCCACCTGCATGCCTTAGATTGCTGACCCCTGGTCTAAACACATTCATTCTTGGCCACTGTATATGTCAAAAGTAATTTTGTCAGGAATTTTCTGGTACTATCATGCCCACCAAACCAGCTAGGAAGGTTTTAAAGCAAGTATGATCTTTTCAAGCAGAGTATCCTTTTATTAATTCATAATTTATATCCATTAGAGAAAAAATAACACACTGTTCTAAAAACTCAATGGATCTGCAAAGCTGCTCAGAATTTACCATCAAAGCCTGTCTACATGCACAAAAAAGTTGTTTCTGTTGCCAGCTCCAGAAGAGAAGGGAGATTTGCACAAACCTCCTTGTATCAAGAAAAGGTGCCTCCATATAAAACACTGCTTTCAATAATGTAATAAATGTATTGGGGACCACAAGAAAAATGCCATACTAAAACCCTGGAACAGAATCAAACTAAACAATGGAATTTTTGTGGGCCTGATCTATCACTGAGTCTTTTGACTGGCTTCAAGGCAGCGAAAGCAGTGTCATGGTACATTTACATTCAATACCTTCACCAACACTAATGACCAGAATTAAGAACAGAGAAGCATTACTTCATCATTTGAGATAGTAGACTGCCCACTGCTTCCTCCTTGCTCTCTACACAGCCAGGCAAGCAGCCAAAGCCAGCCACCATCAATTGTCTCAACAGGAAGCTGAAAGAAAAGGGTGCCTAAATTAGAATCTGTTATACAACCAATATCCAGTCATAACCCTTATTACAGCACTAGCTCTTACAATTAAAAAAGAATAAGGCACTTGGGGTTATGTTGTTGGACAAATGTACCAGCATCAGAAAGTTGGAAACCATGATAGAAAATGTCTGTTAATAGAATATGAATGTTGAAAGACAAAGTTAAGCATTTAACATGTAGAAAAGTCCATACTGGACGTACATCACTGTGAACCCAGATTCAGCACTATGCCAATGGACCCTTATGGCCACATGGAGCCCTGTCCTTGATGGGACTCCATGTGAACACAGGGCTGGCACCTATGTACCAGTTATAATAACAGAGCCTATATGATACTATTCAGCACCAACAGTTTCAGGCAAATATATTAAGTTAGATACTTTTAAATATTAAATGATAGCTTTTACAGGGGAAACTGATCTTCACACTGGTTGAACTGAAACTTTCTGTGAAGCATAGTCTGTTCTTGGAGAGAGGGGTTTTGCCTAACTTCAGAACACTGGGTAGGGCTGCCCCACTGTGAGATCAAGCTTTCCATGTTTCACACCATTTCCCTGTTTCATTTGGTTGAGCATTAATGGATGTCCCTCTTCTCTCCCTCTTCTATCCTCCATACAGTGCATATAAAAACACAGTGATTAAGATTTATAAAATGTGCTTTTCTGAGCATTTTGCTTCCTTTTTTATTTTATTATTATTAGCTTCCTTTTTACACTCCTCCTTCAGTTCTCTAACAGCAGTATTTTAGTTAATAAATATTCCTACTTCTTTCCAATTCAAAAATGGCATAGGCCGCTTCACTTCAAGATTTACTTTCAATATAGAAGTGCAATCTCCCAGCTACTTACCCCAAGACCCTGTTCAGTCTAATACAAGACTTTCTTGCCTTCCATCAGAGATCTACTGTAATCAGAAAGAAAGGAAATCCTAGAATTATTAAGCCTGCTAGCAGGTTTGGATCTGGCTTGCAGCACTGTATTCTAACTCTTACATATGCAGCTTGTAACCAAAAGAGAGTACACAAGTATTGAGGCCCTGAGGCTATTTGGTTGGTTGGTTATGTCACCTGTTTGTTTTAATTATCATTACCAGAGATGTAACTACAAGGGTGTGCGCGTTCAGTGCCAGCAGTGGTGGCTGCTGTTCTTGACCCTCTTAAGTGAGTGACCAGGACTGGTGCCCTGATTGCCTACAACTTGCTTACACAAACAACCATTACAGTTCCACAAATGAGACTGAGTACAGAGGTAGTTACCAACATACCTTTCTCTTTAGAAAGGCCAGATAACTATTCTCAAGGAGCATAACAGTTAGGAACCACGTCCCAACTCTATGCTCTCTCAATTCAGATTCCTAAGTGAAGCCTTAATCAAAAGAGACCAAATCTTTCCCATGCTCAGCTACAGGGATAGAGCCTGACCACAGCTCCAAGGTCTGTATATGCCCCCAGAAGGCCCATACAATCCTGCAGAAAGAAGGGCCTCATGAGTGGCAAATTAGGCCAAATCCTAAGGATGCTTATGTGCATACTGATGTGAACACAGTGGACAGGAAGGAGTCAGTAACATTTGGGATGGGATGGGATGGAGATGGGAAAGAAAAGGGTGCCTATTGTTAAATGGCAGCAGTCAAGTAAACATTCCCGTTTTTATGGCTCTCCACTGGATTCTTTCTAATTTGTCTGTCTTTCTTGAAGTGTAATGCTCAAAGTTTGATAAAATAGTCCAGGTGAGGCTAGTGCTAGTGCTGACTAGAGTGGAAGAATTACTTCCTGTTGATTTGCATGAAATATTCCTGTTAATACCATCTAGTGTGCTACTGGCTTTTTTGGCTTTTTGCAACAACAACACATTGTTGACTCATATTCAGCTATACCCCTGGTACTGCAGCCTAATCAGTCATTCCCCAATCTATATTAAAAATGTGCATGCAATTGTTCTGTTCTAGATGCAGGACTTTGCACTTGTCCTCACTGAATTGAATTTAATTAATTTTGGACCATTTTTCCCATTTATTAAGGTAATTCTGAATTCTAATTCTATCCTCCAAAGTCTTTGCTACTCTTCCATGCTTTGTACCATTCGTAATTGAGCAGGCCTGATCTCACTTCATAGTAGGGTTGCCAACCTTCCAGGATTGCCTTGGAGTCTCCAAAAATTAGATATAATTCTCCAGTAGACTGCTGAGAGTCACCCGGGAGATAAATGATAGGGTATTCATTAAAATAAATATTAAATGTTGAATCAAATTTATACAGTAGTAGTAGCCCAGTGAGTTTTTAAAATGGAATAGTAATGTACATTTGCCTTCCTGAGTACAGTACAGTAGATCAGTCATTAATGTCATTACATCATATGATGAAACCTCCCAGAATGGATTCAAACAGAGTTGGCAACCTTACTTCATAGCTGCCCATCAAAATTATATCTGCATCTCCTCACAGGATCCAGGCCTCAAAATGACTTAAGGTATGAGTTCAGCATCCCCCTGCATGGTCATGGAATCCCCCAAACCATTACAGCAGTATAACATCAAGCCTAAGAAAACCTACAACCAGAAATCTTTGTGATTGAACAGCATCCAGAAAAGGTAAGAAAGGCAGCACAGAATTTGTATAGCACTGCTCTATTTCACAGCTCGAAGTAAATCGCCAAAGTGGAAATTCTAGTACAATGCATTACATTAAACACAGGAAGAACTGGAAGAACAGCAGGGTGCTCAGGTACCGCAGTGACGAGATACATGTAAATGTATGCAGAAAAAGAGAGAGTCAGCAGCCCAGGCATCCTAGGAAATAACAGAACAGTAAATTGGTTTCTACCTTCCAAAACTTAGTCAATGTAAACAGCTGAAAAAAAAATTACCTCACATTTCCAGTTGTTTGAGAAAGACCAAATGACATCAAACACTTCTGTGTTAATGAGCATGCTCTGAAGCATGATTCCACAAGATAAAATTAGCCAGAAAACAAGGCTGTAAAATATGCTAACCCTTGGAAAACTCTGAAACCTAACCATGCAGAAAACAAGGCTGTCATACTAGCTCATTTAAAACAAGATAACTTGTTGATTTAAAAAATGCTTCTAGTCAAATATCAAATACTACAAGGAAAATACTCTAAGTTTTTTGACATGTAAAGACAAAAAATACAGGGGAAAGGAATGTGATGACTCACCTGCACCTTTTTGATATAAAAAGAAAGTGTGATAACGGACATTTTAGGTTTCATTCTCTTTTCTTTACATACAGCTTTTGTGTACACTGGGACTTTGTGAAAAATAGGGGAGCAAGTAGAGCTATAACACCATTAGTGAATTACAGCTGATCAAGAGAGACAGGAATGGGTTTTTAAAGAGTTCTAAATATTTTTTGTGTTGCCAATTCTCGTAATTTTATCTTGAGTCCTGTAATAGTTAGACAGTTGGCATTTATTTTATTTATTTATTTTTCATCTCCAGCTTTCCAAACTGCAAAGAAAAGCACCAAAATGTATGATGAAGGGCCAAAAACTGGAAGGCAAATAGAAAGCACCTATTTGTTTTAGATTAAAAAAAAAAATCTCATAGTTTAGGAGGGGCCTGGCTCAAATGTGAAACTTGGGGGTTGAAAATATGGCTTTTATAGAAACTATTAGCATCTATGCAGTTATTTACTAAAGATAGGGTAGAAATAGAGACAATATGCAACAGAGGCAGTATTTCTAAGTCAGCTAAGATGTGAGAAAGCTCACAATGTACATCAATGGGATTCTCTACAATACTTGCTCTATGTAATATAATTTGGATAGAGGCAGTATGTGTTACTTTGCTGCACTTCATAGGTAGAAGCATAGAACATGCTCCTTTCAGAGCTCACAGGCTGC